CCACTACGGGGTTGGGGGGTAGAGGTAGAAGGCAGATTGCAGAAGAGTTGGGCGCTCTTTGAAGCCTCTGGGAACCTTCCTCTTATCTGTTTCACTAGCTGCCCCGTGCAGCTTATCTGTCTGCCAGGTGCTTTGCAAGGAGTCTGGAAGGGTCTGGTTTAGCACCAAGGGTCTCACTAAAGGGAGAAATGGGGTGGGGGGAGAAGGGGCGACATGCCCTATTTAGGGATCCATTACACACCCGCTACATTCTTTCTTAAAACTACAGCTTTGGGGAATAAAGCACTAGAACATAAACATGATAAGAAAATAAAGAAAAACAAAATTATACATTACCTGAAAAAATAAAGGGAATAGAAAATATCAAGAAAATTCAAAAATAAAGGGAATAGAAAATATCAAGAAAATTCAATTAAGAACTACAAATATCGCAAATGACCACATTCACAATAAGAATATCTGCTCAAGTTGATACTGCAGTTCTAATCACTATATAAAGCTGTTTCTAAAAAATAACTCATCAGGGGCTGGAGCTGTGGCATAGTATGTTAAAGCCTCTGCCTGTAGTGCTGGTACCCTATATGGCTGCTGATTTGAGTCCCAGCTGCTCCACTTATGACCCAGCTCTCTGATGATGGCTTGGGAATGCAGTGGAGATGACTCAAGTGCTTTGGGCCCTGCACCCACATGGGAGACTTGGAAGAAATTCCTGGCTCCTGGCTTCAGACTGGCACAGCTCTGGCTGTTGGGGCCATTTGGAGAGTGAACCAGCAGATGTTAGACCTCGCTGCCTCTCCCTCTGTGTCTGCACTACTTGGAAAGGGAAGACTGCCAGTACATACTTTGGAGACCAATGGGACATGCAAAGTGCCTGCTGTCTCCTTCTTGGTGAAGTTGTAAGGAAGTGAAAGTACTAAGATATGTGGTTCCTCTGTTTATAGAAACAGACCTGCAGGAGCACAAAGGTCATTTTAGAGATAACAACCTGGTGATGAAACTTAAAGATTCAATATATTGTAAAATCCACACTAGATCATCAAGTGAGATGCTTCTGTGCAAATAAATAAGCCCACATTTTTGCTGTCCTCACAGCTGAAACGCTCATGATGACAAACTGCAATGTAATTTTCATGGGCACATTTTTCAAGTTAACAATTGAATGCCAAGAACAATCTTCCAGTATCTTTGTTTAAACTATTGTTTAAATGATATCACTGGGTCTCAAGTGCACATACATGAAGTAACTACACTGGCCATTCAGAAATATCCAATCATTCTTCTGTGTACTCCCTACCACACTGCTGGGTGAGCAAACCTCGGTATCAGATATGCTCCTAGTGAGCATATTTTACTGTGAATTCTGTTAGAGAAATGACTCTGGCATATGTGTGCAAATATATATGCACACGTATGAAAGCAAAATGGACCTCTTCCTTCTCCACATAGAAACTATGTGCAGTATTTCATTAGTACCTTAGGTGATGCAACCAAGATTATACGTAGCATTTACAAACATATTACTTTTGATGGCAAGGCAGAATATCAATGCTCCCCACTCACCTGTTCTGCATTTCTGTATATGGGCCACCATGAGTGAAGATGGAGGTAATCCTACTGTAACATGCCCTAGGGGTTTCTGTCTCTATGTACCTCATATCTATCGGTGGGTTCTTGGCCCTTTTACCAAGAACAAAGAAGTAAAACAAAGTCAAGATTCAAAGACAAAATATACCTATCTGTATTTAAATGAGCAACATTTTCCTCTGATGAGACATTCTTCCCCTCATTCTGAAGTTACAGATACCAGTTTCTTCTTTATCCCATAAGTGAAACAGAAAAGGCAAACTAGCATTAGATTTAAAAATTTAGGAGCTTTCATTCTTGTCTAAACCATTCCTGTTTTAAAAACTGTTGAAATTTTCACATATAGCTAAAATTTCTAATACCCGCGCTTTGCAGATGCTGTTGTCGCCCGCAGCTGCTCTCCGTCAGCCATGGTCAACCCCACCGTGTTCTTCGACATCGCCGTGGACGGCGAGCCTTTGGGCCGCGTCTCCTTCTAGCTATTTGCAGACAAAGTTCCAAAGACGGCAGAAAACTTCCGTGCTCTGAGCACCGGAGAGAAAGGATTCGGTTATAAGGATTCCTGCTTTCACAGGATTATTCCAGGGTTTATGTGCCAGGGTGGTGACTTCACATGCCACAGTGGCACCAGCGGCAAGTCCATCTATGGAGAGAAGTTGGAGGATGAAAACTTCCTGCTGAAGCACACAGGTCCTGGCGTCTTGTCCATGGCAAACGCTGGGCCCAACACAAATGGCTCCCAGTTCTTCATCTGCACTGCCAAGACTGAATGGTTGGATGGCAAGCATGTGGTCTTTGGCAGAGTGAAAGAGGGCATGAGCATTGTGGAAGCCATGGAGCACTTTGGGTCCGAGAACGGCAAGACCAGCAAGAAGATCACCAATCCCAACTGTGGACAACTCTAATGCATCTGAGTTTTACCTCACCCACCTGACCATTCCTCTAGCTCAGGAGAGCGCCCTCCGCCCCATCTGCTCGTGACGCCCTGAATTGTGCTCTCCCTGCAGGTCTTTGGTTCCGTGTTTTCCTTACTTCCCCTCCAAGTCTAGTGGAATTGCAGAGTTAAAAGTTATGATTATGAAATAAAAATATAAACAACAACAACAACAAAAATTTCTAATACCCAGCAACTAGGAAAACACTTGAAAACCCTAATGTTAACTTCCTATAAAATGTTCCCAATGCACTGAGCCTGAGGTGTGTATAATATGAACATCAAAGTGTTATAGTTTGTCTTTTAATTTGAATGAAGACAAAGTTACAGTTTGAATTATCATGATGTACAATAACTGAGTTTTTTCTTTTCCTTTGGGAAGAAGTCTATCCTTCAAAATGAGATTATATTTTCCCTCAAAATCTGGCCAATTTGAGACTCATGCTACTCTAAGGGCCACCTCTTGTAAGATCACCAATATTCCAGCCCTTGAACTGCTAGAGGAAGTTTATGGGCTACAAGTTTATTGAACTGAGTCTTTGTGATTAGAGGCCACATTGTCTCCGGTATTAATCCGGGAAAACCACCTAGGACAGGAGCTACTGTCTGTCATCTGCCTCTTCCTCCCCCTGGACCCTCCTGTGTTCACCTGAGGCTTTGTCACTCAGGCCTTAGCTTAACCTGCTCTTCCTCACATTTCTGCTCCTACCAATGTTCGGCAGTCCACTTAGGCCTTGGCTGAGCTTGTCTGTATAGTTTCCTAGTTTCTTCATGCCAGTCCAATCTGCAAGCAAGGAGAAGGCCACAGTCTGCTTCCTCTCATGGTTCCTGCTACTTGGAAGGCTGTCAAATGAAAGCCTCTAATGTAACTTAGGATGGCAGTGTTGCCATCTGCTCCTTTATGAGTACAATGGTCCTCTTGTTGCACAGAATGGCCAACTAACTATGTAACCTGATTGTAGGGTGGAACAAGTCACTAACATCTAAAAGTTACTATCTGGGGCTTTAGGGGCAGCAAACTTACTTTGCCTGATCCATTGTTGCCTTACTTACCTCTGCAATTTAACTTCTTTGAGTCATAGCATCTGGCTCAACGACAAATTCAGGATGAATTCCTAGATTACTTTCCTTATCTACTGGCTCTTCCACCTGTACTTATTCCTATGACTTCTTCCATTGTTGATTTCCCCTTAGCTCTGAGGAACAGGTAGGTATGGCATCCTAGTCTTTCTCAGGGAAGGGTGCAGAGGCCAGAGAGCTGCTTACATAGCCCCACCAAGTCATTTGTTCCTCTGCAGAGGCTCACAGCCCAGGTGGCCATTGGTATCTGGAGCTGTGAACAAAGTGCCAGCTCAGCAGGATGAGTCTCTGGAGGAAGGCTGAAGTGTGATAGGGAAGAATTATTTCGCTAGCTACTTGATTTTCATTAGAGGGGGTTAGTATGGTAGTGAAACTCTGCAGCTTCACAGGCAAAAAAGCAGAATATGTGTGGGTGGGCAGATGAGTTAGGGATCTACTTTCCTTTTGTAGATTTTGTTTTGAACATCATAGTGAACTCCTAACCTCAGCTTTAGTGTCCTGGAACTTCATGCTTTTCTGATCTCTCAAAAAATAAACCTGTAGCTCCCTGAGTCATGTTAAACCTAACTGCTGGGGTATGTGGAGTGGGATCCTCTGCAGACTTCCTGACAATATCCATTGATAGTATTCTGCTCCACATCCCACTCAGTCTCAAGGTTCTAAACCTCTCCAGAATTCTGGGAGGCTGGGGCAATCTGCCCAGAAAACTCCATTCAGCTTGGATTGTGGTTTCCTCTGTCTCTGTCCATCAGCTTTCTACCATCTAGGTATATACAGTTTTCTTGATCACCCCTTGCCCTCTCATTTGTTCTTGCTGTGGGTTCACACCTTTAAAAATGTCCCTTTACTGGTATGTGGCAGGGAAGAGAACAGTGTGCCACCTTTCTTTGGAACAGTCCCAATGGTTTACAGAGATCTGACCCTGTGGACTTGGGCAGAAATGAAGAAAATGAGATTAAAGACCAGAACAGTCAGAGATGAGGTGAACTTTATTTCTCTGGGCCATGCACATTTGGGCATCCAGCACAGGGACTGACTCTACTCTGGCAATGCTGGGTGTGGCTGTTGTCTTCTCCCAAGCCCCACATTTTAGCCTTGCACTGTGTGATGTCACTGTCGATACTGAGGTGGAAGCAGCTCAGTCTCTAGTCATGGAGTTCAGGTTAGACCTTGAAAGGAGGAGCAGACATGGAATATTTGTAGATCCTTTGCACGTGGGGCATGCACAGAGTCATTTGAGGGACCAAAGGAGGGTCCATGCAGGGCAAGTCTGGCTATGGCAGCCATCCTTGTCCTTTCTGTCCAATGTGGTGAGCCTGCCCTCCGAGATCCAGGAGACTGAAAGACGCAGCAGTTCCACACAAGTGCTTTTATCCATGATTGCCAGGCTTTCACTATTCCAGAAAATTAAGAATCATTGATTTAATCACCTGCTTTTCATACTATTTCCTGGAAGTTGTCTGATTATCTAACTTGGATGGCTTTTATGTCTACTCCAATCTTCTTTCCTTTAGAGCCTAACAAGAATGATCTAATTGAATGATCTAATTGGCCACATTCTTGTTAGGCTGTCCCAACCTCATTTTCAACTCAGCCTGACTTCTTTTCATCTCTGCATTGTCCAGTGTTAGTAAAAATCTACTAACAAAATCAAGTTCATCTTGCATTACTAGTCAGGTAATGTCTCATCCCCTTATCTGCCTGTTTCTGCAGTCTTCTCTTATCCCCACTATTACCTCTTGGTAATTCTGCATCCACTAACCCATATACCTTGCTGAAGGCAATAAATTCCCTCGACTATGCTCCCTATTTGAAATTAAGCTCAATGCCCTTCCCTCACCTCGAAATCCTATCTGGTGTCTGCATCTACAGGGACAGTTACTGCCTGGAATAGTTCTCCTTCTGATACTTAACAACTGGATAACTGACCCATGCATTTTTTTCATATCCAATCATCTTTTGTTGGATATAGTAAGTCAGCCTCCCCTTCCTCCTGTTCCCATTTGACCTGCCTTTTCCTCTCTAGTTCTGTGACCATCTCGCTCTAGAACTCAGTCCTTCCTTGTCAAAGTGTTGAGGTTTCTTGCTGGATTTCCTTCCCTGTCTCCTACAGTCTTCTCTCCCCAAGGTGATATTCCACTTGGAAAGAAACTACTACAAACAAACAGCTTGCTTAGTCTCTTCCTCACTGGTAAAACCATGACTCACTGAGCCATTTATTCAAAGTTCCATAGAGACAAGAAGACCAGTCTCCTGTAACACCTGAGATGGGTAACGGATTTTCAAATAAATAAATAAATCTTTAAAAAATGATTAAGGGATCAATTCAATAGGAAGATGTAAGTATTATAAACATATATGCACCTAATTACAGGGCACCTGGCTATTTAAAATAAATGTGAAAGGATTTAAAGCAAGTCTTAGACTCCAATACAATAGGACTGGGGGAATTCAATACTCCACTTTCAGCAACTGACAGATCAACCAGACAGAAAATGAACAAGGAAACAGCAGATTTAATCAACACTTATAGACTGAATGACCTAACAGATATCTACAGAACTTTTCATCCTACAGTTGCAGAATACACATTCTTCTCAGCAGTGCATGGAACTTTCTCTAGGATTGACCACATACTAGGCCATAAAGCAAGTCTCAGCAAATTCAAAAAAATAAAAATCATACCATGCATCTTCTCAGACTGCACAGAATGAAGCTGGAAATCAGAAACCCAGAAATCTCTAGAGCATATACAAACACATGGAGACTGAACAACATGCTCCTGAATGGACAATGGGTCATAGAAGAAATCAAAAACTTTCTGGAAGCAAATGAAGATAACAACAAAATGTATCAAAACTTATGGGATTTACCAAAAGCAGTAAGAGGAAAGTTTATAGCAATAAGTGCCTACATCAAGAAATTAGAAAGAAACCAAGTAAATGAGCTATCAATGCATCTAGAGAATCTAGAAAATCTACAGCAAACCAAACCCAAAACTAGCAAGAGAAAAGAAATAATTAAAATGAGAGGAGAAATCAACAAAATTGAATCCAAAAAAATCACAAAAGTCTGCAAAACAAAGAGCTGATTTTTTGAAAAGATAAAATTGACACACCATTGGCCCAACTAACCAAAAGAGAGAGAAGACCCAAATCAATAACATTAGAGATGAAAAAGGGAATGTAACAACAGACACCACAGAAATACAAAAAATCATCAGAAATTACTACAAAGTGCTGTATGCCAACAAACTGGGAAATCTAGCAGAAAAGAACAGATTCCTGGACACACACAGCCTACCGAAATTGAACCATGAAAACACAGAAAACCTGAACAGACCCATAACCAAGACAGAAATTGAATCAGTAATAAAGGCCCTCGCAACAAAGAAAGCCCAGGACAGGATGGAGTCACTGCTGAATTCCACAAGATATTTAAAGAAGAACTAACTACAATTTTTTTCAAGCTATTCAAAACAATTGCAAAAGAGGAAATTCTCCCAATTTATTTCTACGAAGCCAGCATCACCTTAATTCCTAAACCTGAAAAAGATTTAGCAGAGAAAGGGAATTACAGACCAATTTCCCTGATGAACATAGACACAAAAATTCTCTTTTATTAAGTCTAGCCAATAGAATCCAATGATACACCACAACAATCATCCACCCAGATCAAGTAGGATTTATCCCTGGTATGCAGAGATGGTTCAACATTCTCAAATCAATCATCGATTGACAAAGTGCTGAAGAAAAACCATATGATTATCTCAATAAATGCAGAGAAAGCATTTGATAAAATACAATGCCCTTCCATGATGAACACTCTAAGCTCTCAGAGGCACAGGCAGCCAAAGCCAAAATTAAAAACTGGAATTACATCAAATTGAGAAGTTTCTGTACAGCAAAAGAAACAGTCAGGAAAGTGAAGAGGCAACCAGCAGAATGGGAGAAAATATTTGCAAGTTATGCAACTAATAAAGGATTAATAACCAGAATCTACAAAGAGATCAAGAAACTCCACCACAACAAAACAAACAACCCACAATGAAAACCCTTTTTTAACTCAAATATAAAACTGATGTTTCATATTTGATAAAGCATTCTTATCAACATGTTCAGAATCATTATTGTGACAAGACAGAATCACCTTTCCTATGTCAAGCAACTTGGTGATTTTATATGAATTTATTTTTTTTTAATTATGATAAGGCCAGCGCCGCAGCTCACTGGATTAATCCTCTGCCTGCGGCACTGGCACCCCGGGTTCTAGGCCTGGTCGGGGCACCGGATTCTGTCCCAGTTGCTCCTCTTCCAGTCCAGCTCTCTGCTGTGGCCCCAGAGTGCAGTGGAGGATGGCCCAGGTCCTTGGGCCCTGCACCCACATGGAAGACCAGGGGGAAGCACCTGGCTCCTGGCTTCAGATCAGCGCAGCACACCGGCCACACTGGCGTAGCAGCCACTTGAGGGGTGAACTAACGGGAAAATGAGGACCTTTCTCTCTGTCTCTGTCTCTCACTGTCCAGTCTGCCTGTCAAAAAATAAATAAATAAATAAAAATTATGATAAAATACACAAAATGTAAATTTTAGTAAAAATGTAGTTCAAGAGAATTAAACATATTCAATGTGTGAAACTCATCTCTAGAACTTTTTATACCCAATAACATTCCATTTCCCCTTCCCTTCAGCCCCTGGAAACCACATTTTACTTTTGATCAACTTGACCCCTCTACCTATCATGTAGGATACAGCATACTTTAAAAGCAGCAAAAAGAGGTCTGTCACACAGAGTACACCCAGCTCTGGTTTTAGTAAGCGCCTCCACACTGACTCTACAGCCTATGTTCTTCCCACTATGTATTCTTCAGTCACTCCTTCACTCAGAACAAGGATTTTAGAACTGGGTACATCAGGGAGACACAGTGTTAAACATGGGAGTTGTGTGGACATTTCTGTAGTTTCCTATTTGTGTATTCCTCAAGTTAGCTTTGTTCTTTGGCTTGAACAGCTCTTTCCCCCTTGTCGTTTTGAGAACACCCACCCAATGTTAATATGAGCTCAGGCATAACCTTTCAAAATCCATCATTCCACACACTACAGGCCTTAGTCTTATTTTTCTTTGTCCCAACACCTTATTTCTTGGAACCCTATTCCAAGTACTGCACCATTCCAGTGAACTCACCTTTCTGGCCTTCTGTGGATCTAGCCTTAGTATTAGACCTACCCTGGATACCACCAATGAAAAGATCATGGTTACATGACAATCCAGGGAGTAACTGTGTGCTGACTGGACACAACCTACATCAATCACCTAATAAGAAAGATTTATGAAGGATTCATAAACTTCTCCCACCTTAAAGTACCTATCTAAAGTGAAAATAATCTTTGTCTATTTTACAGCAAAATATGTATTAATATATGCACTTATTTATTTCTAAATTACTTGAGAATAAGAAATGTATCTGATCCATCTTTGTGTTCCCAATACCAGGTACAGAATGGATATATGAGTGCTTTGGCTGAATGCCAATCAGTGAACCCATGGTTTCCTCTGCTCCAACCATTAATAAACCTTTACACCATTCTGAAACATAATCAGACATTATCACATGTTGGCTGAACTAGATAAGGACTTTTACCAGTTGGCCTTGTGAATCAAGCCTAGGTCCCTTGTCCCTTATTCTAACATGACTGAGAAAGCCCCTGATGTCTTCAGTACATTCCTAGAGATAAAACAAAAATCAACCATCATTTTGCTAAGAAGCCACAATGTTAGACTGCAGATAACTAGCAAGACACTTAGTGCCCTGCCAAGTGAGCGTTCATCCTGGGCCCAGCAGATCAGCAGACCTCTTCCCATACAGAGCTGAGGCTGGGGCAAGGCAAAGGCTCACTTTTTTATTTATTTATTTTTTTCTCTTTTACAGTTTTAATTCTCTTCAGAAAAAATTTAAAAATCTCTCAGGAGTTTGCCCTGTTTTAGTACTTGGGAAGTCCCAACCCTATGTATTAACAAATGTGTAGCCTGCTAGTAGGTAAAAGTAATCACATACAGTATTGGGATTTTTTTTATGTTCTTTTTTTAACTTTTATTTAACAAATACAAATTTCCAAAGTACAGCTTATTGATTACAGTGGCTTTTCGCCCTATAACTTCGCTCCCACCCGCAACCCTCCATCTCCCACTTCCTCTCCCATTCCATTCACATCAAGATGCATTTTCAATTATCTTTATACACAGAAGATCAATTTAGTATAGATTAAGTAAAGCTTTCAACAGTTTGCACCCACACAGAAACACAAAGTGTAAAATACTGTTTGAGTACTAGTTATAGTATTAATTCACATTGTACAACACATTAAGGACAGAGATCCTACTTGAGGAGTAAGTGCACAGTGACTCCTGTTGTTGACTTGACAAATTGACACTCTTGTTTATGGCATCAGTAATCACCCTAGGCTCTTGCCATGAGTTGCCAAGGCTATGGAAGGCTTTTGAGTTCATGGACTCTGATCTTATTTAGACAAGGTCATAGTCAAAGTGGAAGTTCTCCCCTCCCTTCAGAGAAAGGTACCTCCTTCTTTGATGGCCTGTTCTTTCCACTGGGATCTCACTTGCAGAGATCTTTCATTTAGGGTTTTTTTGTTTTGTTTTGTTTTGTTTTTGCCAGAGTGTCTTGGCTTTCCATGCCTAAAATACTCTCATGGGCTCTTCAGCCAGATCCTAATGCCTTAAGGGCTGATTCTGAGACAGATAGAGTTAGACAGTGAGAGAGTGACAGAGAGAAAGGTCTTCCTCCCATTGGTTCACCCCTCAAATGGCTGCACCGATATGAAGCCAGGAGCCAGGTGCTTCTCCTGGTCTCCCATGCGGGTGCAGGGCCCAAGCACTTGGGCCATCCTCCACTGCACTCCCAGGCCACAGCAGAGAGCTGGCCTGGAAGAGGAGCAACCGGGTCAGAATCTGGCACCCCAACCGGGACTAGAACCTGGGGTGCTGGCACCACAGGTGAAGGATTAGCCAAGCGAGCTGTGGCGCCAGCCAAAGGCTCACTTATAAATAGAAGTTGTGATCCCTTTAGTTTCATTTTTTTCCCTTGCCACCAAAAACTCCGATTCATATTTGCTGATATCCATATATTTAATGCATGCTAGGCCGGCACCGCGGCTCACTAGGCTAATCCTCCACCTTGCGGTGCCAGCACACCGGGTTCTAGTCCCAGTCGGGGCGCCGGATTCTGTCCCGGTTGCCCCTCTTCCAGGCCAGCTCTCTGCTGTGGCCAGGGAGTGCAGTGGAGGATGGCCCAAGTGCTTGGGCCCTGCACCCCATGGGAGACCAGGATAAGTACCTGGCTTCTGCCATCGGATCAGTGCGGTGCGCCGGCTGCAGCGCGCTGGCCATGGCGGCCATTGGAGGGTGAACCAATGGCAAAAGGAAGACCTTTCTCTCTGTCTCTCTCTCTCTCACTGTCCACTCTGCCTGTCAAAAAAAAAAAAAGGAAAATATAAGCATCTAGAGGCAAACAAAGGGACACTGTAGAGAATAACAAATATAGTATTACATTTTTAAATGGAGTTTGGATATTCTTCCATTGTCATATAGATTACAATCAGCTTGTGAGATCCAAGAAAACATCTATGGAGGTTGATGAGTAGCATTGTATTGTATCTGTATATCAGCTTGAGGAAACTTTTTTTAAAAAAATAGGTCATTCCAATTATGGTATTGTGTGAGTAGGATTTAGACATTTTCTTGCCTTATAGATTCACCTCCTGGGGTAGAGGCAGCAAACAGAGAGCCTGAAACTTTACAGCTTTGATGAGAACACAATGAAGGGGCATACTCCCTTCTTGCAGGGAGAAAATCCTGGGCATGATTTTGGAATCCACGATAGAGAAAAAGAACCTGGGATTGAACTGGGCCCAAACAGCATCCACAAACATGACCCCAAATAAAGCAGTAAAACAAACGGCACTACAAATTATTAATCCCCTTCTATCTATACCACTGTTCCTGTGTTCTCTATCCTCTCAGGACTCATCATCTCTTTTACTACTTGAACTCAGAACAACAAAACTTACCCTCCTGAGACTAGAGTAGACGATTCCTCTCCTCACGGTCCCCTCATCACTGGTCCTATATCTTGCTCTGTGGTTACACAAGTAGACCACAGTTAGAGAGTCTGGTGTAGGCACGTTGTTCTTGCAGGAGAGAAAATCAGTCATGTCTGGAAAAACAGGAAGCGGGTGAAGGTACTTTGGCATCTGCAGAGAGAGAGAGAATGAGACGGAGATGAAAGCAAAATACAGATAGCAGTCACCTAACCAGGCTCTGTTCACAGGAAGGGGTCCTGTAACTGGCTGAGATAACATTTCAGGATGAGAGTTGACTTGCCATCGCTCTGTTCCCTATACCCACCAGGTCAGGCTGCTCAGATCCAGAGGTTTTTCAATTCTGAGCTTCAAAAGAACTGTCCCAGAAGGAGAGAAACTCTGCCCGGGATGAGATTTGTGAATCCTGAAGTCTGGAAGGGTGGCTGGATTTCCATCGACTAGGACAGTGCATGTAGCTATTAAGCAGGGCTGTTAGGAGGGGTTGGGGCTAAGACAGAGGAGTAACGGGAAAGGCGAGGAAAATGCACATGGCGGTGACTGGGTGGTCCAGCTGGAACACAGGAAGAGCTGGGCATGGAGAGAATTAAGGTTGGATAGTGGTAAGAGTTGTCATTAGTCAGAGGGAGGAAAAAAGTCGGGCAGAAAACAGTTAGATGTGGATCATAATGGAGAATAGCATCAGCACCAACAAAATGAGGTGAATAGGAAGCACGGGGGCTTATGGGACAATAGTAGGGAGTACTGGAAAGACGGTGATGCCCGGATGGGTGATTTGAAGGAGGGCGATACTGGCATGCAGGAACAGAAAGAGGGTGAGACCAGGGTGAAGGATCAGGACGGTGTGGCTGGTGTGAACCTGCAGATGGAGCAGGACACTGGGCTAAAGTATCAGAACAAGGGTGAGGTTGGGGCACAGGGCCAAAAGGAGGGTGAGGAGGGGACAGAGACCAGAAAATCTGAGATAACTTTTTTGTCATTTGTTTTAAGACTCTGTTAGTTGCTCATCTTGTCAAAAATGAAAATGAGTAACTGTAATTTTCCAGGCCAACTGTAGCCTTTATGTCATGCTCGACCACCATTGTTGCATGACATAATGCCCATTATGAAATACAGAGGTCCATCTCCACAGGCTACAGTGTGAAGGCCCCACTCACCAAGAATGTGGCCCCATGGCATAGGTTGAATAGTGAGTACGGGACATGTGGATAGGGAACAAGTGGATCTGTAATCACAGTCCCTGTTCTTGAGATAACACAGTTTTGACTCTCAGTTACCAAAGGGAATGGACATGCTTAAGGGGTCAGGGCCCCTTAGGAGAGAGGTTCTTTTGTAGAACTGGGAAACAGAGGAAGAAGTCAGTGTTATAGAAAGTGCAGTCCCTGTCCTTCGTGCTGAACCAAGGTAATGAGGATAGATTGAGAGTCTATTGACAGATGAAGACAGTAACACAGTCCGTCTCAAGTACTACTATCTTGGTGAGTGAGGGCAGCCTGTGGTTTTTAAAGAGGCTGTACAAGAGGTTGGGCTGCTGAACCAGTGTAAAAGCCTGTTGCAGGTCTCATAACAGTATATCCCAGATGTCAGTGCAATTTCATGAGAAACTTGCTTTATGGCCTGACCTCATTAGGAGGAGGGGATAGCAGCATGCTCTGCAAAAACTAAGTATTCAAAATCTTATTTCACTGGTATCTGAAAGAGACAAAGATTTGTGTTGAGCCTCCTGTGTTTATCAATCAGGATGAAGTCCACTCAGCCAAAGCCCATGCTTACTGTGTGTGCCCTTAGTCATTTGTCACCTTTTCATTCTGTTAAATTGAAACCTCTGGTCCTGCTGACCAAGGAGGGCAAGATTACTTCACAGCTTCAGCCACAATCTCCCAGAAAGGACTTGAGGGATGACCTTTACTTCTTCTTCTTTTTTTAAAAGATTTATTTATTTATTTGAAAGAGTTACAGAGAGAGAGGAGAGGCAGAGGAAGAGAGGTCTTCCATCCGTTGGTTCACACCCCTGATGGCTGCAATGGCCGGAGCTGGGCCGATCCAAAGTCAGGAGCCAGGAGCTTCTTCCGGGTCTCCCACATGGATGCAGGGGCCCAAGGACTTGGGCCATCTGCTGCTTTCCCAGGCCATAGCGGAGAGCTGGATCAGAAGAGGAGCATCCAGGACTAGAACCGGTGCCCATATGGGATGCCGGCGCTCCAGGCCAGGGCGTTAACCCGCTGCAGCACAGCACCAGCCCCTGATCTTTATTTCTTTATCTCACCTCTTGAACACTACAGTCACTTGGTCGGCTGCGTGACTCCTACTTGGATCCTGTAACTCAAGGCAGAATCTAAAGGACAATAAGGTTCACAAGAATGTCTCCCTCCCCCAATCCCTCCCTCCTGCCAGAGACCCCCCCATAACTGTGGGAGATCCACTCATGACCTCTCATATCCCCTTGCAAAACAGCTTACAAAGAAGCTTGCTAAACAGGATAAGTGAAAGGCCTATAAGGCTTCTGGAAAGCTCCTGGAAGCAAGTTCTCTCTCCCACCAGTGGCAACTTCCCTTGACAACCAGATAAAAGCCCAGCCCTACATGTGCCCTGTGTGCAGTCTCTTTGCAAGAACAGACTGCCGCCCCTCTGTGCTTCAATGAAACAACCTGTCTCTGTTGAGGTTGGTCCCTGTCTCTTTTCTCCACTCCTTTCTGGGGGATACAAAAAAATCAGAACCCTGAGGTGTTCATAACCTGATAAAAGCTAGTAGAATGGCTGCCAACTCCTGAGTGTTAATGACTAGGTGTGGAGCCAGGAGCTTCATCCAGGTCTCCCACATGGGTGCCATTGGCCTGAACATTAAGTAATCTTCTGCTGATTTTTCCAGGCCATTTGCAGGGAGCTAGGTCAGAAGTGGAGCAGCCTGGACGTGAACTGGTGCTGACATGGGATGCCAGCATTGTAGGCAGAGGTTTTACCTGCTATGCCACAATGTCAGCCCCAAGTGTGGACTGTTGTTTACTACTTAAGTGATTCCAACTATTTTTTATAGTTTAGAGTGTGCAAGGCTTTAAAAAAAAAGAATATTTATTTGAAAAACTGACAGAGAAGGAGGGAAAGACAGACATCAAGATTTTCCCCAAATGGCTGCAAAGGCCATGGCCAGGCCAGGCTGAAGCCAGGAGCAAGAAAATCTAACCAAATCTCCAATGTGAGTTGAGGTGGCCCAAGTACTTGGGGCATCTTCAGCTGCTCTACTAGGCACATGAGCAGGAAGCTGGAGAGGAAGCAGAGCACTCAAGACTTGAACTAGCACTCCAAAATGGGATGCCACCATTGCACACAAGTCTTAACCAGTGTGTCACAATACCTGGCCCACTATACACATCTAATACTTCTTTCCTTAAAATTTTCCTAATTTTTTTTCTTTTTTGGTGTTATAATAAATAAAATTTGGTTAACTTGTGTACTGGTTTTGTATCCTCCAACTCTGCTGAACCCATTTTACAGCTCTAATGTTTGAAAATTTCTCAGGATTTTCTCTATATATGACACTATCAATCGAAAATACATTAGTTTTTCATCTCCCTTTGTAATCTTATTACTGAAAGTCTGGTCCTTGCCAACGGTATTGAATCAGAATAATGAGGAGGAGGTTTGAGGATAAAGGAAGGAGGAAATTCAGTTCACTGATGATAAGGAGGGCAGTAGACTGAAAGTCTCAATAACTATCATCTTACCCTGTGAAAGTGGTCTGGGCTTTTAAGGAATGCAAGAGAATTTGAGCTGAGAACATGATTAATAGAAAAATCAGGGTCAGATAATCAGGTCCTGAAGCCAGTGGCTGGCCTGTTTTCTTTTCAACTTAATACTTCATTAATTTTTTGAGATAATATTTTAGATTTACGTTACAGTCAATGAATTAATGATCTACTAAAATAGACTTCAATGTTCAGAAACAAATAGGCAAGGCTGGTGCTGTGGTGGAGCAGGTTAAAGCCCTGGCCTGAAGTGCTGGCATCCCATATGGGTACCGGTTCTAGTCCTGGCTGCTCCTCTTCTGATCCAGCTCTCTGTTATGGCCTGGGAAAGCAGTAGAAGATGGCCCAAGTCCTTGGGCCCCTGCACTCATGTGGGAGACCAGGAAGAAGCTCCTGGCTCCTGGCTTTGGATCAGCACAGCTCCGACCGTTGCAGCCATCCGGGGGAGTGAACCAGCAGATGAAAGTCCTCTCTCTCTGTCTCTACCTCTCTCTGTAACTCTTTCAAATGAATAAAATAAATCTCATTAAAAAAAGAAAATAGGCAAGGCCTTTTAACAGTAGAAAAATACATAGATCTTCAACTTCAATCCTATGAAGTAAATTTTAAAGTAGTCACAAAATAATTGGAGCCATGAGTACATAATTTTAAATGATTTTTAAATGTAAGAAACACATCTACTAAAACGTGTTTCAAAATGTCTACCCATATAAATTCCCATTTTTGGCCAGCACTGTGGCTCAACAGGCTAATCCTCTACCTAGCAGCGCTGGCACACTGGGTTCTAGTCCCAGTCGGGGTGCCGGATTCTGTCCTGGTTGCCCCTCTTCCAGGTCAGCTCTCTGCTATGGCCTGGGAGTACAGTGGAGGATGGTCCAAGTCCTTGGGCCCTGCACCCCATGGGAGACCAGGAGAAGCACCTGGCTCCTGCCTTTGGATCAGCACGGTGCGCCGGCCGCAGTGCGCCGGCCACAGTGGCCATTGGAGGGTGAACCAACGGCAAAAGGAAGACCTTTCTCTCTCTCTCTCTCACTGTCCACTCTGCCTGTCAAAAAAAATTCCCATTTTTATAGAAATGTTTTCATTGGCTCTTGAATTTTTAAAAGTATAGAACAGGGGTCATAGCTGTGGGGACTGGGGATTTCTCCCTCTGACAAAAACCCCCAGAGGCACACTGGCTGCCAGTGCCTCCACTCCCCTTATTCTGGGAAGATGGCACTTTCCCACCTATGGAGTTCTGTGGGCATCTTGCCTACCTTCAATTCGCCTGCCCACCGGGATTCAAAGTCGATGGAGACTATGGGTTTCTCCCTCTAACAATACCTACAAGAGGTGCACAGGCTGCCACAGCCTCCACTCGCCTTATTCTAGAAAGGCAGCATTTCCCTGCTGGGGAAGGGGGGCAGCAAT